AATCAAATACTAAAGTCAGTCTAATGATGAAGTTGTCAGCATATACCTATATTCAACTTTAGGTCACACTAAATCCGCTGACCTTCTGGAAGAATTTAAATCACTCTTGAAAGCTGTTAATTTGAGTAAATTAATTTTAATTTCAATGGATGGACCAAACTTCAATCTGAAGCTTCACCATGATTTTAATTCAGACCGTCAAGAAGCAGATTTCACACTTTAAACAATTCGTTTTAAGTATCAATGAAGTGTACAGGTTATGGAAACGTTAAAGAAAAAGCCATTTTACTGTCTAGGCATGATGGACAGCTTTACAAACGTTTTGGGGGGAAAAGATAGTGGAATTCCCTTCATCTTTTAAATCTGCAAAGAATCTTACGTTCTGTGGTCCACATGTGATAACTAGATCATCTGCAGTTGCAAACAAATGGCTGTCATCACTTCTTGCAGATTTTGTATCGAGAAGATGGATAACTTGAATTAGTGGAGGTAAAATTGAAAGTGTCTTTGCAAATTACAATTCGGTTGTGGCGATGGTGTAAGCATATTGGTTAGCAAATATGGGAATGTTACTCCCAAATTCTTGCTCAAACTCAATCAAAGCCGTGGATTTGTAAGGGTGAAAAAATCCTTCATATGCTTTCCTTCGGAGGGGAAGTAAAACGGGCTGTCCTATTGGTAGATTTACTGCTTGTTAAAAATCCTTAAGCCTAAATGAAATTTTTGAGCTAAATTCAAATTGCCTGTTTCTGCTTAAGTAATACGTCCTTTATCTGCTAGTTGGTGAAAGGAGCGTAGCGAAATTTGCGTGTTCAGATGGAAGAGCAGGCCTCATGGTCTTGAGAAACAAATCTCTGTTCTAAACCTGGGATAAATGTTTTCAAAAGCTACTCAGAACACAACAGATTGGATCATTTTTGGAGAAAAGTCATTTTGAATGATCTAGTGAATTTGCCAAAATTTATTAAGATGACACTTGTTTTATCGCAGTTAGGCTGATGTCAGAAAGGGATTTGCCATCAACAAGTAATGCCTAATTGATAACTTGGCGAAAAAGCTTTTAGTCGCTCAAAGAGAAGTTTGGGATGACGTTATAAAAGCAGGAGTTACACAGATCAAGATAACTAGAAGTATGATTTTTTTATACTAGAAACGCTTGAACTGTCTTTCTTTAATAACTGGAAGCAATGAAGACAAAAGAGCAGGGAGAAAAGATAAAGGAAGCCAAGAAAAGAAAATCTAAACAAAAGAAATGTGAACTGAAGGAAAAGAAAGGAGCCATAACTACTCAAATGGCACACATTGATGAAATTGGTTCACTGAATTTGTTGTTGTCGAAGTAGGTGGACCAAGATTATTCTGTTTTTTAAATTGTTTTATTTGTATAACCAATAGTTATATTTTGTGAAAAAATTAATTATAATATAGCTTATTACACTTGATTTTTCATTTTATCATTCTTCGCCTGTTTTGATTGAAATGTATTATAGAAATAATTTATAAACAATAACTGAAAATTTTTTATTGTGACTGGAAAACCTGGAAAAGTCAGGGAATTTTAGGAATTTTTTGGAGGCAGATAAAATCTGGGAATTTCATCACTGGAAAGGTCTATGACTGTGTGCGTGTGTGCGCACACGTGAGAGAGGGGGGAGGAAATTGTTGAACAATCATCAGAAACCATACAAAATACCAACATAGTTAGGGATTATTGTAAAGCTGCGTGAAATAAGGCTTCCCGCACTTCCTTTGCTAGAATCTTTTGGGAGTTATGTTGCGTTGCGATAATTGGAATGTTGCAACTCAAACATTTAAAATTTTCAGAATACCTTTTCATTATTGGGGGGTATTGCTGAGCCCTGGTTAGGAAAAAATGAATAACTTTTGTTTCTGTACGTAGTAAATTATTTTCTCTAGCATGCTGTGTAGGCAGTAACCATCTTTTGTGGGTTCTTGTTACCAAAAAATCAATTGTCGGCAAAACATCAGTCAATCCATTGGTCCACTAGTCGGTCAGTCAATCACTCGGTCCGTCAATCCCACAGTCGGTCGATTCGCGGGTCGGTCAGTTGCCCTCCCTCCCCTTCCCCTCCCTCCCTCCCTCTCTCCGTTGATCGATCGATCATTTGGCCGATCAGCCCCTCTGTCAGACGGTCAGTTCTTTGTTCGGTCCCTCCGCCTGCTGTGATCCTGCTATAAAACTTTGTCCACGGATGCTTAAAAGAATGGTGTGGGGTCTCATGTTCATTAAAAACTCAGGTTTTCCGAAAATTGCATGTTTGAAACATATTATTTTGTCTTTATTGATACAATATTGAAGATGAGAGATGTTTCTATAATCAAATCTGTTACTTTGTGGCAGATTGTGAAATAAGATAATGTACAGTTTTTCGAAAACATAAGTAGTTTCACAAAATTTTGCGTGAAACAGACAATTATAAACAATTATTTTCTCAAAAACAGGTCCAGATTTTTTTCTATTAATTTTGTTTCTTATGTGTTTGAAAGAATGGTTAAGAAAGTGCTGCTGGTTGCATTTTTTGGTATTGAATTCTCTGAATTTTAGAATGTTGGGAAAATTGTACAATCTTCCTTGCAAATATTGTCCAAAGAAAAACTTTTTTATTTGAGGTATCATATGTAGTAATCTTCTATTTCTTTTGTTAATAGAGAACACATACAATGGTAGACAAAATTATATAAACACATGACTCGCACAAAGTATTTATTTATTTACTTATTATCAATAATTTATTAAAATATATCTGCGAATTGCTTCAATGATTTTGGACCTGGAAATCTGCTCTAAAACCTCCATAACAGTTCAATTACGAGAGTTGACATGTTGGCACCAATATGCAAAAAGATGTTCTATATTATATGGTGTTCATATTATTTTGTCCAACCCTTGTATCTACAAAATCGTACAAATACCAGTTTATTTTCAGAATTTTATGAAACTGCAAATAGGAATATTCAAATTTTTTACTATAAATATACGTGTAGAACGTGTATAATAATTGGAGAGTTTCTAATCTAATTTTCCTTGTATATCCAATGTTTAAAAAAATACTTCAAAATTTATATTATGATCATACTATTTCTGAAATCAGTACTTCTAATTCTGTAAAACCTGTACATTTCTGAAAGTGTGTGGAAAATAAAATTTTTCATCAATCTATATAATTAAAAACTTCTTGAAATGCAAAACATTCCCTTCAAGACTTTGTCAACTTCTTCTCAAACGCACAAACATGATAGTTTTATTTGACTCTCAGAAGATAGCATCACATAACATCCTCCAAAAAGGACATTACAGCGATGTAGTGCTCATTTACACCAAGAAACACAACCACAAAAGCTAATAAAAAATGTGGATCAAATGTGTATCAACAGCCGTTAAAGGGATTAAAAACATCATGTAGTTTTAAAGTTAATAGTTTAGCGTAATTTTACAAATTTTCGAATTTCCTGCACTTCCTTTGCTAGAATCTCTTAGGGGTTACGTTACTATGCGATAATTAGAATGTTGCAATTCAAACATTTTAAATTTTCAGAATACCTTTTTATTACTGGGGGTGTTGCTGAGTGACAGGAATGGTGCTTTGGATTGTCGAATTTGTGTGGATATAATAACTTATGTTTTCATGCCAAATGTGTTACAATTGGAAATGTTTTAGAAGCTATGGTTGAAGTAATGTTAATATGTACAGAATTTGCAGTATTATAATTTTATGCAAGAGTTATTGACGTGCTGTTGTCGCATCACTAGTTTTTATTGTGCTACTTTAAAAAGTTGCTTTAAATGTGTATCTCCTATTTACTGATTTGTGGTGATGGGCATTTAGAACACAAATACAGTATGTTTGGCCTGCTTTAAGTTTTCCATCACATTATTCATTTGCACCGTACATTAACCCTCTGTTACTCACGCTGTCTTTGTGACGCCAGTACACGCGCGTGGACTGAGAGTCCGCAAACTGAAACCTCTTCTGCTGAACTTAAAAGCTGTTTTTATAGTACTTTTCGTGAATATCAAATAGACTTTGTCAAAAAATAATATTGATTAATTGTTGTATTTTCATTAGATTAATATATATTTAATGAAATTTTTTGTAATTTGTGATAACATTTCTCTGCAAGCAGTCTGATGTTGAAAAAACATTAGAAAATAGAGAAAAATAAACGATACCAATAATAATAATAATAATAATAATAATAATAATAATAATAATAATAATAATAATAATAAGCTTATTATTAATTATTGTTATATCAGTGTTACTTGAAAAAATATAATTTTGTTCAAAATATTCAAAATAATAAATGCTTTCCAAAAGCTAATAGTAAACAGTTCTTATGACCTAAATTGTTTGGTGAAAAATTCATCTCAATACCTTGAACCATTTATATTAGAAAATATTAAGAGTTTTTTATTAAATAAGTCTGTGTATTTATAACTAATTGAACTATAAATCTGCCACAATATTGTAGTTGTTGATACATAAATAATTTGTGATTTTATTCATTTTTATAATAGAAAAAATATTTATGCACTTCTGTGATTGTTAAACATCAATGAACTATTAGAGAAATGCATAAACAGTTTGTTTAAATCGTAAATACTACGTTTCAATAGTAACACACATAAGAAACGTGAGAGTAGAACATATAGAACGAATACGCATGCGCGTATTGATGCTTCGCATCGCTAGATTCTTCTGTGGAAAACGTCAGCAACGACTGAGAAAGTTTTTTTCAACACCTATCGATGAGTCACCATGGCTGAGGAAGATACTGGAAGCAGCCCCTCAAAATCCCCTGATAATTGACAGTTAGACGAAAAATTCTAAGAGTGCGGAGTCACAGTCCACGTACATGTAACGGAGGGTTAAATAACAAACTAATACTGCTGAAAACTATAGAATTGAATTGCACCATATAGTGAATTCTTGAATTTCAAGTAACATCAACATTTTGTTTGCCTATCTCATTTGCAGATGTGAAGGTACCTTTTCTGCTGAGTCCAGTACTACAGTTATAGAAGATGATTGCTTTACTTTCAATGCTACAACTGCAGACCCTCTACCTTACTCAAGTTCCCAGTGAGTATGCAAAAACTTGTTCTTGTCTGTTCGATTTTCCCTTCATTTTACCAACATCATTGTGTAGTAAGAGTATGGCAAATTGTGTGTTCCCTTACTGCATTTATTAGATGTTATACTTTCTTGCATGCACCTGTGTATTTGGAAAGTTTGCTAGTTGGTTTTGAGGTCCTAGATATTGACATTTAATTAAGACATACCATTTCTAAGTGCTTTTTTTCCTTCGTATTTTAAAAATTAGTTTGCTTTATGTGGGTAATATTTCAATTCAGTTTTTGAAAGACACTACGACCGTGGAAAAATTGTCTGCTTGTGCTTATGCTTCAATTTTGCAATTTGTAGAAATACAATTTATTTTTTTAATATGAATTGTGACACCTAAGTAGGTCTTTTTCGTTATGTATTGGTATGAATCTCATGTACCAAGAAATCATTTTTAAAGCTAAAAGTACAAGAATAAAAATAATGTAAATAGTTTTCATTTTGATAAAAGTATAGTATCGTAATAGAGTAAAATGTCAAAACGGGAATCTTTATAGGATGGAAAAGTGCCTTGACTCGAAAAATTTTCCAGATCATGAAGTTAAATGGCATTTCACAAAGCATGTCTGACCTGTCCAACATTGAAACAGAACTGCTTTTTATATCCTACAGGAAAACAAAACTTTATAAAATAGATTTCCTGTGAATTTAATGCATTGGCTGAGAAGCGTGAGATATTGTGAATGAAATGAATGCATGTGCAAGCCTGTTTTAAATTCTCTATCCCTGTAACATGCAATTTAGTCGTGGGAGCTGTACAGTGAAGGAAAGGTGTATCAGCTGACAGTGTAGAATTCGGCCTTGTTTGTCACTTGTTTTTGAAGGCATAGATGCAGGGGTATTCCTCCCTCTTCAACTCTTTGAACGGGGAAAGGGTACAGTGTACAGGCATGGCTTCTATTCACACTGCCTCTTGTTGGAAATCATAACCTCTCTGCCCGATATGCATTACTTAAAGCTATGCGAGTGTTTCAGAAAGACATAGTACTCGGGACTGTGACACAATGTGTGTTAAAAGAATCGGCAAACAGTCTGAATGTAGCCACTAGGCAGTGAGGTGATGTGTGTATGGTTAAAAACCCACAAAACTCTGACCTTAAATGAAAAGATCAAACTTATAGAAGCAAGAGAAACTCAACTGTCAACGAAAAATGCTTAAAATTCATTTATTGATGATTTCTTCCATAAATACATTATATCTTAATGTATTTTAATAATTATAATAAAATCATGTAATTCACTACTTTCAGGACAGAAACCTCAACATCACAAGTGCTATAAAATGGAGAACCTTGCATAAAATGGAAACCTCCCTAAACCGAATTTTTTTTTTATCCCAATCTTTTCCAACTTAGACAAATTTTACTGTATAAATATGTTACTATAATATAAGTATATAAGTCAACATACAAATAGTTATCGTATGTTCCACTCTAGTATATTTTACAAAACAAATAAAACCGAAACAAATGTAGAAAGACTCAATGCAAAAAACAAAACTAAAATAAACACACTTATTGGTATAAAATAAATATACTAGAATCAATGAAACCAAAATAACACCTTAGTGTATGATTGGAAGTTGCAACATTATCTTTATGATGAAAAATCTCAGAAAGGACCAGGAGTTTAAATATGAGTGGCTAGTTATGTGCAGAAAGCATGAAAGATTATAAACATATTTAAAGTACTGGTATGACTTGGGCTTGTGTGCCCAATCTTGGGTTAAGAGAACATAATGAATTGTGAATAAACTTGTATGGAACTCTTGTTTACCTTTCCTTGAAATAATTATAAAGGAAATTACGTCTGTAGAAAGAAGCATTAGTGGCTACTGATAAAGATTACCTACAGTATTTAAGTAATTTATCAAGAAAATGATAATTCAAAGAATTAATTCTTTGCAGGGTATTACAGTTGCCCTCAAACTAACTGTGATTTATGCATTGTGACGTCGCCGTGATGTGTGTGAAACAGACACGGAGTTTTTATTTACAGATTTATTTACAATCATTTACTATACAATATTTACACTCCTTTGGAAACTTTTATCGCTTCACTCCGTAGCATTCCAACCCGTGAGGCAAGCCACCCCAGTCTGACCCAGAGAACCCGAGTGTGCCAACACTACCGTTGCCCCGGGCATGTCGTCCCGTGGCGAATGACACCTCGCAAGCCGTGGCTGCGATTACCCTCTCTCGGGTGATAATGCGCATCTGTACAGAGATTCGTATCAAACTTGAATTTCCCGGGCAGTTTCCTTAGCTAGCCTATCTCGCGAGGAATCACGTGACAGACCCCCATCGTTGTAGACTCGCGGACCGCCTCCTCTCTCTACGGAGTTTTAAGACCGGTGCAGAATAGAACCCGCCGGCCAGTTGCATGCCGTTGCATCAGTGCCAGTTGCATCGCACATCATCCCCCCTACGCCGTTACCCACGTTCCAAGAACGCGCCCACTCCCGGCGGCCCGCGCCCTCCTAAGGCGACCGAGCTCTGGTTGTCGCGCCTGCCTGGCATGAATGAATGAAAGTCTGTTAGTACATTGAAACAAGAAATAAATTCTTGTACTGTTTTTATTTTAATTCATTTATTTTATACATGAGCTCTATAATGGTATGGTTGTTAATTAAGAGAGAAAGGATGATTTCATAACATATGGTAGAATTTGAACATTGTATGCCATATTCTGACCACCAGACTATCAGTAAAGATATCTTCAAATGTTTCAACATGACCCACATTCGCATAAGTGTGCATTTTATTTGTTCCAGGAGGCGAGAAAAGTTGACAGCAGTGAGGTCACTTTTTCACAGTGCTTATTGCTCAACTATAGGATTCAAGTTCAAAGGAGGTCAAGATTCTGGTCTTGGAAGTTTATTAGGAAATTTTGCTGAGAAAGTTGGTTTCATTTCTGCACAAAGGACATCTGTGTAGTGTTACTCAATTCTGTGTTGGATGATGGTGGGAGTGCTAATGTTAAGACTGTTTTTATAAAATATTGACAGAGAAAATTTAATTTATCCAAATGTTTATTTTTGTACTCCAAAGAGTTATAAATTCTGGAATAAAACGTTGTTTTCTTGAAGATCGTTTTTTAATAATGTACCTAAAACAGGGAATCACTACTTGGAGGAATAGAGAAGAAAGAAATGGCTTTGTTGCATGTGTGTGGGGTGGGAGAGCTTGAAGATGGTTGGCTGACGGCGAGACTTCCTTCTTGGTTCATGGAAGAGAATTCTGAAATGACCCAACAATGAAGAGTCGGCACCCAACGGCGTTAGAATCTGATTTCCAAAATTAAGTATTTCACGAAAATATCATGTTACTTGCCCTGGACTTTATTTATATTTTTCCAACGTATACGTCGCCTCCCTTCTCAATTTCACCGCTCTGCCGCGCAGAACAGCTGTATCACGGAGAACATAGTGCCACGGAGCTTCGAAACAAGGCAACAATCGTCTATAAATCAGCTTTGCGATATGCGAAGATGTCTTACGTTTCATCATTTAGGCACCCATTTGAAATGTACACCCATTGCTCTCAATTTATACGAAGTGTTGGAGCTGCGAAATATTACTTAGATGATTGGGAGAGCGTTTGCAGAAACTGCGACGAGAAGTTCTGTGCATCGCCTTTTTGTGTTCTCGTCTGATGAAGATTCTGAAAGACCTACATACAATCGACAAGATTGACACGATCGACAGATTAACACCGTGAGAATTATTAAGTATTGAAGAAATTGTCATGATGCCTTTGAACGAAAATAATTGTTCCTCTTACGAAGTCTATTCGTTATTGATGCTTTCTATTTTGCCGCCTCTCAAGCACGGGTCACGTAGACTGCATACCGCGCTTATAATGATAGCCAAGGCACAAAACCAACTTTCAGTGCGCCCTATACCGGGTGACGATGAAAAAACCCACAATATTAAGAAGACCAGAGTATACAGTGAAGGGATGTCTTCGTGCTAACCACACGAACCTCTTATCCCATGGCCAGGAGGCTTTGTCCGTATCGACTGTCGACCCATGAACAGGACTTTCAACCGAATACTCCAATTGACAGCTCAGTGACTCCAATCGCTTAGCCAGTTCAAAAACAACCGTACAATTTAAAAGAAAAGCAGCATAAGTTGATTTCACAATTGATTGAAGATATTGTGGAGAAAGTTGAGGGTCCAATGCTTTGGGTGTCACAGATACATATTGTACCAAAGAAGGACAAAGAGTGGAGGTTATGTATAGATAAGAGAAGAGCTAAACAGGTAATTCTAATAGAACGATACCTAATTCCAACAATTAAGGAACTTTCTCAAGATCTGAATGGATCGACAATATTTTCAAAACTAGTTTTGAAGTGGGGTTATTAAGTGAGCTGGATGAAGAATCGCTCACATCACAAAAGAGGGAAGTTTTAGATACAAAAGTTTGTTTGGAATTGGTTGTGCACCGGAATTATATCATCGATTTACAAGGATGTAAAGGCGTTACTTACGATTGGCATAATTTGCATATAATGCGAATTGGCAGAGAAGTGAGATATTCTTAATGTAATGAATGCATCTGAAAGTCTTTTACATTCTGTATTCCACACTACTTAGTCATGGCAACTGCACTCTGTAGGAGAGGGGCTTCAGCTGACAGCCTAGAATGCGATTTCGGGGTCTTTTGTCTCTTAAGGCGTAGGCCGTAGGGGAATCCCCCTCCTCTCTGAGCATAGAAAGGTGTGCACGCCTCTCCCTGCCTCACGTTTAAAATCGCAACCCCTCGGCCAGAGACGCATTGCTCAAGGTCATGCAAGGGTATATCAAAATCATAGTACTCTGGGCCGTGACGTACTGTGCGTTGATAGTTAGCATGGTGTGCGCTTTCGACCATTAGGCAGTGAGGTGATGTGTATTTTTATGAGTTTAGCAATGCGAAAACCATTAAACTAACATTTTGTAACAGATGAAAATCTCAATCTTATGGAAGCAAGAGTAACTCGGAAGCTGTCAATGAAGAATGTTTGATATTCACTTGTTGGCGAATTCTTCCATAAATACGTGACATGTAAATTTATTTTAATAATCATAATAAAATCATGTATTCTTTACTTTAGTTTATTTACTTCTTTGCTTACATTAATTCACTAGTTTCAGAACGGAAATATCAAAAAGAGTTAAAAAGACAACCCCGCATCAAACGGGGACCTCCCTAAACCGGAACGTGTTTTTGTCTCGATCGATTACGGCCTATATTTTACTGTACCTGCAGTCCGCACGTCGTAAATCAAGCACGATGTCAATTATTTCTCGCTAGTCAATTACGGGAATTATCTGCGTGCCAATAAAACGCGCGTTAAGTCTGTCGTGCCTGCTTCTGCGGAGTAATATCTGAGTCCGGTCCAGCTGTGAATGTGTGTTAGAAATTGGATGCATCCGCTGCTGAGATAGGCAGGCCGATGCCGCATTGACCTGGGGCGAATCACACCACAAGGGCATGGAGGCACAGTCTTCCACCATCTGAGGACCGACGCCACTCTGGTGTTCTCCCCTTTCGAGTCCGACCCGACCGCAACGACTACTTGCTTCAGGCTGACGCCCCCAGGATCAGCTGAAGCGATAAATAAACTGTGTGGCAAATAGCTATGGTGTCTATGAAAGCCTTTTTGGTGTAGAAGAACGAATCTCTTAACTCCAGCAAAACCACGCATGGCTTCTTAAGGTAAAGTCAAATTTAATTTATCGCTATTGACGGCCAATAGCTCCTGTAAAGGGTATTGTAATTTATGTGCTTAGTTATAACGTTTAGTTTTAAGTAAACGTCTCTATTTAAAATTTTATATGGCATACGTTCATACACACACGTTAGCTCGAATTGTCCCCTGCTCAAGTAGCTTCCTGTTGGCGGCCATTGATTACCTTTTAGAACATTCGAAATTGCGGGAAGGATATGAAGAGGCAGGTAAGTTGCAGTGAGCGAGGTTACGTCAGTGCAAATCCCAGTTGGCTGTCGAAGCAACCCAGATGGCTGCCCGTCACATCTCTAAAGAAAAATGTACCGCATGTTAAAAATAAGACCATTTCTTGTTTCCTAAACTCCATTTATTTCGATCTCTTCAGGCGTCATCTAAATATCGCGCCGCCATCATTGACCTTACGTCTTCTTCCCAATTCCTTTTTGATCTTCCTCTCCATCTTCTTTCTTCGGGATGGTATTCCCACATTTTCTTTGACTGTCGCTTACTGTCCAATCTTCTTAAATGCACATACCTTAATAAATCCTTTGTTTCATTCAGTTCTAAGGTTGATTTTCCAGGTTTCATTATTTCCATTATTCATTGAATTTTAATTATTTCCTTTCTTGTAACCTGACAACACCGCCTCCAATATTCCAAATCGTTTCCTTAGATCCTACTTCTATCCCTGGTGTTAATAGTCCATAACTCTGCTCCATATGTGAATAGACTTTCTACAATTGTTTTATTCAGTGTCATTTTTGTGTTTCTTTTTATGCTTGAATTTCTTATTAGTGAATATAAAGATCTTATAACTTGCCTTTTTCTATTTGTTTTGTTCAGGACATCTTTGCTATGACGACCATCACTTGTTAAAGTTAAATCCAGATAGTTGAATTCCTTTACACATTTAATTATACCTCTATTGGTTAACAAGTTCTGACCACTACTATATATTTTGTTCACGTCATTGTCCCCACTTTTTCATATTCTCATGTAGTGGATATCTTCATCACTGGATAAAGACCACTTGGTTTTCTGCATACATACATCAAGGTATATAAGAAATCTGAAAGGATATTCCCATGCCCTTAAACTTTCTTTTCTAGGTATGAAGAACTAGCTTAATATACATTTTAAATAGAGGAGGGGATATACAACAACCTTGACTTAGGCCTTTATTTTAAAAGCTGAAGAACTTGTTGAACCAACTTTTACGCATATTTGACAATTCGCATATAGACGCTTTATAGCATTTATGTACACCGTATTTATATTTTCATCTTCCATAGTATCCCACAGTTTAGCTAGGGACACAGTGTCCAATGCTTTTCTCAGATATACAGATATTGGGGCCACCACGAGGAGGAGAGAGAACGGATTTCCTGACTATATCCCGATCTTGCCTGCTCTTCCGTCGGGGTACCCCCGGGGGGGGGGGTCTGTGGCATTTGACGGTATAAGCTATTGGGGATTGGCTTATCCCACTGAGGCCAGAGTTAACTTTGACTCCCAATACATTAAATAAGATGTACAAGTACAATGAAAAAGTAATCAATTGAAGCCAGAAGAATGTAAATTACATCGTCAGCAAAGTAAGTATAACAGATATTCATAATATCAGGCTTTACTCGATTGATTACACTTAATCATTTTGTAATAGAACAAATTTTAATTGACGCATTTCCATGTCACTTTCTATGCCTAAAAATGGACAGCTAAAATATATATAGATATTTTGTTTTTATAGTGAACTTGCAAAGCACAACTCTTTTAACGAGGAAATATCCGCCGTAAGCGCCACGTAAAGCTAGTGATGCTCGAAGGTGGTATCGGAATAAGTTATAATCTTTTTATGTTCAAAATCGTATTTGAAGTGTAAAAACACAAGTTTTTTGTCAGATTTAAATCATTTAATTACGCTGACGAAAATTGACTTTAATTATCTTTGCGATTTTGTATAGATTGTAAAGATGGTTCGAGATCTGTTCAGGCAGAGAATTTTGAAACTTGTAATCAACAATTGGCGCAATTCTGGCTTCAGCGCGTCGAATACTCAGAGAAACGTGTCAAGACAACAAACCCGGAAAACAAAAACAAAATGCAATGTTTTGTGTGTTTGCGATTTTAAAAAATTGGAGGGCGATGGCATAATTCTGCCTTTAGATTCGGATTCAATGCGTCGAAATGCATAGAGAAACATTTGTGAAGTCTTTGGGTCTGACACGTTGATTTTTACTTTCCCGCATACGAACGTATATACGGACTACAGGCTCGGATCCATGGGGGGGGGGGGGAAATTTACCCCCTCAAAAAAATTTCAATAACTATTAATTTTAACTACTCACGAAACTTCTAAGTAACTA